AAAAACTCTGACTATCAATTGTACTTACTTGAAAATAGAACCTGCGAGCAAATGAATTAGTTCATTCCTATTCGATTTCCATGTTCCACAATAAAGTTCACCCAATTGACTCAACCAGGAAAAAATTTAAATTTTCCAAGCGAAATTCTCGGAGACCGTCTGAGAAGAATTATTGATAATTTTCCTCCTGGCAGATTGTAATATAAATAGAGTCAGTACGATAACAAAGGTGTTTTCAATTATTCATTTTACCTCTTATCGCTCGGAATAATTATCCGTCTTTTCCCTGAATATAAGTTCAGGTACAACAGTTCCGTGATTCAGTGTAATATTGTGATCATATTGAACCCAACATGCTACGCATTAGTTTTCTCTTCTTCATTGCTGTGGCGACGATCTACGTCATTGGTAAAATAAATATTGATATAGTCACATAGAATTTCCAATAGTAATGCAGTACAATTTTCCGTCCAATTCGCTACATTTTTCAATGAAATTTTTTCATGCGCGTCAGACTGAAATTTTGACCGAAACAGTGCAACTCCAAAGACCAATGCTGAAGTCCTCAATGAAAAAATTATTTGATCAAATACAGTAGAGGCTTCGTATAAGATACCTTAGGGACAGTAGGAGAGTGGAATTCCGGGAACCCCTATGCTCCCACTACGCGCCCCCGCAGAGAGGAGACAAATAGGGTTCAGCGGGTTTCAAATAAGATAACTCGCTCATTGCGCCCAAATTCAATGAAATTATCATTTTTACTGAATGAATATCGATAACTAATCAATTCTATAGCGAAGCGATAAACCGGTTTAAGTCGATTTAGACTATTGGTCAGTTTTTAACGAATATCTCGNGCACATATGTGAATAATTACGCAATAGTGAGCAATTATTGATGGTCATGGGATAATTTTTGATGGAATCAATTCTGTAGCGAAGCGGTAAACCGGTTTAAGTCGATTTAGACTATTGGTCAGTTTTTAACGAATATCTCGGAATCTAAGGAAGATAGTTATGTTTGTGTAATAACCTTTTTTGTAGTTCTTAATTCGCTCTACAAAAAAGATTATAATGACAATTTCGCTATTTCTCTTAGATTCGGAGATATTCCTCGAAAACTCAGCGAAGAGCTAAGTCGACTTGACCCGGTTTACCGCTTCGCTACTGAATTTATGTGTTCAATGTTTTGAATTTGTATCACCCGCGTTCTCTTTTCTCTTTAAAGATAACCCTGCGTCATAGAATGGCAGCTGATGTTGGGGGATTGTTGGTGGACTCGAGAATAATCACAGACCAAAAATTACGATTTTTCGATGGGAAAAGTGAAAAAAAAATCGATGTATATTTCCATTAATTGATAAGTCGTGTGACCCCCCCCCCTTAAGGTCATTAGACCCTCATGATCACTTCGTTCGTCCCTTCCGTTTGACCCTTGACACAGTTTGATCCTTATAACTACTCTCTTCCCGTTGAAAAATCACCGGGGCCATAGGTATCTTATAAACAGCCCACGGAACAAAAACATTCGGGAGGTGATAGAAGTGCCGAGAGTGGGGGTAGGCCTCGAGCGCTCGGAGTGCGAGGTATCTTATAGAGAGGTATCTTATACAAAGCCTCTACTGTATAAACCAATAAATTTACTTTAAAAAATCACAGATTATTGGATAAATGACAACGACATTAGCTAAACTGCAAAAAATGCGATGTTTCAACCATTAATGTTTGCAGATGTAAATGGTCAGGAATCTATATGTGGCCCAAATGAAACATGGATTGACTGTGGTAGCGGCTGTGGTGAGCACACTTGTCAAAGTCCCCCTCCGCGACGAAACCAAATCTGTCCGGCGGTACGAAATTATTCATTCACTGAATTTTCATGTTTTTTTTAACAAATAATTTATCGATGATACCTTCAATTATTTTTAGGTATGTCGCCCCGGTTGTTATTGCACAGGTGGATGGATTAGGCGAGAGCGAGGTGGACCTTGCGTTCAACGTTGCTAACTTCAAACATTTCGTCATGGCTACCTCAGTGTTTTTATATAACTCATTATATAAAATAATAAGCGACAGTAGTTGTCACACAGGTAGCGTACCGCTCTGGTAAGTCGTCCGAGCTAAGCAGCGGTTAGTCTTGGATGGGTGTCCGCTTAGCTCTAGCTGCTCGTGTGGAACTACTGCCGTGAGGCGCGAATGTAGAGACCTACTGTACCCATTTCAGTAGCGAAGCGGTAAAATCATTGAAGTCTATTTCGACCATTGGTCAGTTTTCAATTAATATCGCGGAATCTAAGGCAGATGCAAAATGTTTGCTATTACCTTTTTTGTAGCTCTCAATTCGTTCTATAAAAAAGGTAATTACAAAAATTTTTCGCTCTCCCTTAGATTCGGAGATATTTTTTGAAAACTCAGCGAGGAGCTAAGTCGACTTGGATCGTTTTACCGCTTCACTACACGGAGAGAAATGTTCAGTAAAAATTACGGAACTCACACTTCGCTCACCGATTACGGAATCGGCTAATAAAATTTAAGTGACGGTATCGTAATTTTTCACCGGAGTATCAAAAGATACGTAATTTTTATTGAATATTTCTCTCCGTGTACTGATTTAGTCAGTGTGACAGACGGGCACAATAGGACCCTGCAATATCGGCCGGCTGTACGACTGGGGTTTTCCATGGTTTCCCTTGCAGTTCTAGCCCGAATGGGGTGCAGTTGAAAAAGAGTAAGACGGCCCATGGTAACACCGATTAGGGGGGGGGGATATGTAAAAGGCCGAAAGCTTATACATGCCTGGAATAAAAAATTTAAAAAATATTATATATTGAATAACAAAAACGAAGAAAAAAACGTACAAAATTTAGAATTTAGTGGTGTAGTGACGAACGTAAATCTAAGGCTAGCCTCATTGAGATAAATTCAGTGGACAAATCAATGGTTGAACAGATCCTGTCTATGAACATGTAAACTTTTCTTGCGATACAATAAAGACATGAATTGTATTAATTTATTGTTCACTGATAGACAAGTCTGAGCGTTTTTTATTCCTACCCTTTTTCCAATTACTCGAGACACGTTCCATGTGAATGGTCTGTCGGACAAAAACATTCCATCTCATATTAACAATGTGTACTTTAGAGTGGTACACTAAGAGAAGAACTATTTTTGACCAAGAAGCCTTACTTAATACAAGAAAATATTCTCCTGTCGATTTTAAAAATCGTCAAATCTTCAGATAAATAATTTCGTTCTTAGACTCAGAGCAAAAAGTTGTCCAACAGGATGAGATTCTCTTATCCCGAGAGAATTTTCAAGCGTCCTTAGATCTAGAAATAATGTCGTTCCCATAAATTCATGTAGTTTGCGTTATGTCTAGAATTTTATTTCATCAGGACTTTCATTACATAGAATCTAGCACAAAGAGCACAACACTTGAGATCAATTTTCTATACACTTGAATTGATAATGAAAGTGTTCGTCGTGCAATCGAAACAAGAATTCCTCAGTTGGAGATGATGAGGGATCAAATCGGGAAAATGTGAATTCTCACAATCCATTAAATTCTAGATATAATGCAAACTATATGAATTTATGGGAAGACTTATGATAATACTGGATAATTTTTCTCGGGACAAGAGAATCTCATTCTGTTGAGACTTCTTTCTCTCAGTGTGAGCACAAAATTATTTACTAGGATATTTTACGATTCTAGAAATTGACAAGAGAATATTTTCTTGTATTAAGGGGAGACTACTGTGAGTTTTAAAAGTCGTGGGTTATTGGAGTGAAACTTTTCATACGTTGAAGATCGATTATATAGATCTAAAAACGAATAATAAGTGCAAAAAAAAATTTTTTTTATTGTTAGTTTGCCCGAAAACTCTTAAAATGCCAAAAACAGTCCAGGGTCCGCAATTTTTGAGCTACGAATGATTTTTTTTTCTCAAAATTTTCGTTGGGCATAAACTTAGTTCTCAACGAATGGGAGTACAGACCCCGCCTTCGACTCGGCCTGTAAACTTCACATTCGTCAAAAACTAAATTTGGGCCCTTGTACTCTAATGTACTATTTTTGGCCCATGGAACCCTCTCAGAGTCAAAGAACAATTCCCACGAGTGTCGAACCCTATTTTTTATCACAATCCGTGGAAACTGGGATCTCGCACACACAAAGTGTGTGTAAAATTTCACTTTACTCACAAGTGATGAAATAATATATTGTATTACCAGGCTGTAAAGTTTCAGTTTTTCACACGCACGGGTAACACATATTATTTTGTGTGATACCTGCCGAGCTTAATGTTCGGAACGGTCGTGAGGATAATGCGGTTGTTGTCGTGCACGAGTGCGTAACGCGAGGCTTTAGGCACGAGAATTCACTTTACGCACGCTCGTGAACTTTACGTACGCCGCGCGGAAAACAACCGCTTTACGCATACTAAACCGTTTTGAGAGTGGACTTTTCAGGCAGGCATCACAAAAAAAATTTTCTTCGTACATTTCTATTTAAAGAAAATATGTAGGACAAAAAAGCAATAGAATTGCTTGATAGAATCGGCGAAAATCTAATAGAATTCTGAATGAAACTTCAATAGAAATGCACTAGAACTTCTTAATTGCAGTTAAATTTTTTCATACGTAAATATGAAAAATATATGAATTTGACTTGACGTAATTTTGATGAAATAAATTGACAATCACCTCGCCCACTTTCTTTTTCATCCAACACCTAATATTATTATGACAATCAGTTTTGTATTGACAATCGTTACGCATGCACCTGTGAGCATAATGTGAAGATAAGTGTGAACGTCGGGTTTCTTCCTGATATCTTCATAACAAAGTGACAATGTTTTTCTGGAATGAATTATTATATTATCCTTATGTACTAAATCATGAGGGAATCCCGTTAGCAGACGTAATCCTTTGGTATTCCCGACTATAAATAGACCTAGTCTTTGGTCCAAGAGCATCAGGATGAGATCATCGTATCCAGAACTTAACATGTCGCACATTGGGTTATTTTTCCTCATTGCCCTGGCGATGGTCTTCGCCTCCGGTGAGTTATTCACGTACTATAGAGATCTATTCTCGAGAAAGGGAATGCATCAGTTACAACAGATAATTGTTCTCAGATTCTCACTGATTCATTCGAGTTTTATGAATTTGTTTCTGTAGGTATAAATGCTCAACCACAGTGTGGCGTTAATGAGGTTTTGGACGAGTGTCCCGATAACTGTCCACCGGATCCCACAAGACCCCCTAGAGCCTGCATCCAGGTATGAAGAATTTCTCAATACTAGCGCCACCCTATACACTGTTAAAAATTTTTCGAAATTTCATGGATAATATGATACTAATTATCGTGAGAGTGACATTGAATCTGATTTAGCGGAAAAATGGTTATGAAATTTCAAATTTTAGGTAGATTTCAAGGAAATTTACTAGTTTTCAGTGGAAGTGAGTAGGAAATTTTCCAACTGGATTGAATTTTTAATGGAACTTGAATATTCAGAAACAAAATGATATGATTTTTCAATTTTCCTCAGAATTTTCCTGATTTTTCTGAATTTTCGTAGAATAATTGGATTGAAAAATCAAGTATTTTATTGGTTTTCAGATCATTCCAATAGAAAATCAATGGACTATTTGATTTTTCAATTACAAGATTTCCGGAAATTTCAGCAGAAATTAAAGACGATAAAAATTTCCGGGATTTGACACAGAAAATTCAGAATGAAATTTCCACCAGTGTTTCTCTGGTTTCACCTAGGGGCTTATTCTCAACTTGTGTGGGAATCCCCGAATAAAGTACTCCGTTGTACGATTACGGGAGTTTTCACTTGATTTTCCGCCTTTGCTTTTAACGGATAACAGAATGTCGATAATTTTCCAAATTTTTGAACTAATTTCCTGCTGAAAATTGTCGATATTTTTACAAATCAAAGCACATCAATCTCCAGGAAGCGACGATAAAGATCAATGTGCTTTAGCATAAGAAAACATTGATAACTTTGAGCAGGAAATTTGTTTGAAAATTTCAAGGAAACGGTGGCCTTCTGTTACCCCTTAATTCTGTTTTCTTCTGGTAGTATTTAATTCCTGCAATTTCCATTCAATGATTTCAGATATGCAGACCTGCTTGCGTCTGTAGACCCGGTTACGTGAGAATCGTCAATCGCTTCGGCAATCGTGTATGTGAGGTACAACGCCCAGAAGAAAGACCTATATCCCCTGATAATTAAATATAACATATATATAAGGTACATTTTGAATCTATTTTTAGCAAAAAAGCAATTTGAAGCATAAATGCCTGATAGAAGTTTGCGTATCTACGTGGATGCTTATATTTAATGTATATTTCGCCTACACTGAGAGCATAATTCTAATATCTAAAACATATTTATTTGAGACTAGTAATTTTTCTTCAATCGCTTAATTCTCCCAGGCATCCCCATTCATGTGGCCCGAGAAAGGTCTCATGCTTTAAAATATTCTTGGACTCAAGTATGATTTTGTTGGAAATGAACTCACACAATTTGCGCCAAAGAATCGTCAATCTTCGAATATTTATTGTTTTCATGATTTCTTTTATGCACTACTAATGTTTCCATATGTAATATATTCATGATTTAACGACCAAGTATCCCATCCATACAACTTGCATTATTTTAACATATCTTTATTTCGCAGTGATTCCCCACTCGCCAGTTATCATTAATAAAGATACATAATTTTTATTGAATGTTTCTCTCCGTGTATTTTTATATCGTTCCCAATATTATATCAGTAGTGGAGTGATCAAACGGTTTAAGTCAATTCCATTCTAGCGTCAGTTCTTGATGAATATCTCAAATTCTAAAGGAGTTGGCAAAATTTCCTAGAAATCTTTTTTGTAAAGAAAAGTGAAGACTATCGAAAAAGATGTTACAAAAATTTCGCTATCTTTCTTAAATTCCACAAAAGTTATTCAACAAAAACTCAACTGGAAGCTAAGTCGACTTGAACCGATTAACCACTTCACTACTGATATACACTGAAAGAAAAATATAATTCAGTAGTGAAGCGGTAAACCGAGTTAAGTCGATTTTGACTATTCGCCAGTTTTTGCTGAATATCTCGGAATCTAAAAGAGATAGCAAAATTTTTCTCATGACTTTTTTTATAACGCTCTATTGGCTCTACAAAAAAGGTCATGACAAAAATCTTTCTATCTCTTTTAGATTCCGAGATATTCGTCAAAAACTAGCCAATAGTAAAAATCGACTTAACCCGGTTTACCGCTTCGCTACTGAATTCTTCTGACTATACTCCATCACCATCGACTTACAGTCAAAAAGTCCTCAACAATTTTTCATGGGTTACGGTAACTATGGCCGGAGCAGTAACTACTACAATGGAATGTAGTCATTGCAACTATTTTATAGTTCTGCTCACGATAGATTTGTCATGATTACTTTTGAACTTTGGTTAGTTTAACTGCATTTTGATTTGCAAAAATTACGCTTGTGAAGTTATTATAATGTTATGTGCCGCATGCAAAAAAAAATCGCATCGTTCACCAAAATGCCTCAACTATTTTCTTATTGTAAATCGAACTTCAGATTTTCCTCTCAGTGTATTTCCCTCCGTGTAGTGAACTCTGCATTCAGGTAAACGGCGACAGGTCAATCCAATTGCAACATTGTTATATAATCAATATTGAGGAGCGGATCTCTCAATGATGAAATGCGACATTTGCTCATCAACATCGTAATAATTGGATCACGGCATAAAAATCGTCATGTTTGCTGGAGTCATGTGACTCTGTAATGCGTGTCACGGGGCAGGTCAGTGACGCCCCGCAATTTTTTCTTCCCGTCAGATCAGTCCACGCACTTCACGTGACTATATCCCGGTCTCAGAGCGATAGAATTCGAAGGTGAACTAACTATTGTGTTTTGCATTCAATTTCATGTGAGTACCTATTCTTAATTTCACAATTTTCCGTTTCTTTCTGATTTCCCCGAGTTTTACATTTTCAACCAAAAAAGGAAAATTTTGGATATAGTTGTAGGTATTTATTACATATTAAATTATATACTAAATTATATACTATTAATTATATATATGGTGTCCTAGGGGGAACTTTCCACTTTAAGTAGCGGAAAGTTCGTCTTCCCTTTTTGAATCTGAGCATTTTGGAAACTGATTTTGGGCGCGATTGGGCATATGAAGGGGAAGTGCGATCGTATATGGTTGCGTATGTGAGCATCAAACGTGCTGAAAAGAAAAAGAAAGGAAAAAAAATTTGAAAAATGATGAAAAATAAATATTCACTCCTGAAATCAGTAGTAACAGACGAAACGAAAAAAAGGTCAGACCAAAAAAAGTGCTCAGCTCCACAAGTGGAAGGGGAACTTTTCACTTCAAAAAGCACTCTTCAATACCGTTGAAGGAAAAGGATCGCTCATGGGACACCCTGGATAATTAGTATTCAGAATTTTCGAGATAAAAAAAAAATAAGAATATGGAAAATAGAAAACCAATAGATATGTTCAATATTCGGTATTTTAGTCCTATTCTTTTGATTTTATTATTTTATTCTGTCATTTCATTTGCTATTTCCTTTGGTTTTTTATTTTATACCCCTGTCCCTTTGTCAATGTCATTCACAAATTTGTTGATTGACTATATCAGAATCTGTAATATTGCCCGGACCAGGCTGGTAAAAGGTATTTGGATATTTCTAAGCAGCAGCGAAAAAAATTCAGTTGGTTTTTTTTTCCTGCTCAAAAAACAAAGTGTTAGACCGTGTTGTGAGTTCAATGGGAGAGATAAGTAGAATGGTTGTACACTGCTAGAAAACCACTTTTCAAATTTCGAATAAAAAATTTTGAAATTTTTAACATCCACCAATTGATGTAGAATTTATTGACATGTCATTATTGACGAATCGCCCAATTTTTTAGATATTAAGTAGTAATGTCACGACTGCTCACAAATCATCGGATATGAGAAAATACAAGAATATGGAAAATATAAAACCAAAACATGTATTCAGTATTTTCTATTTTCAATCCTATTCTTTTGATTTTATTATTTTATGCTGTTATTTCATTTTTTATTTCTTTTGATTTTAAATTTTATCCCCCTGTCCCTTTTTCATTGTCATTCAACAGCGAAAAAAACGAATGAAGTTGGTTTTTTTATTTTCCTACTCAAAAAATAAAGAGTCGAACCGCCTTGGAGGTCCCACGGGAGAGATAAGTTGAATGATTGTGCACTGCTAGAAAATTACTTTTCAAATTTCGAATAAAAAATTTTGAAATTTTTAACATCCACCAATTGATGTAGAATTTCTCGACATGTCATTATTGACGAATCGCCCAATTTTTCAGATATTAAGTAGTAATGTCACGACTGCTCACAAATCATCGGATATGAGAAAATACAAGAATATGGAAAATATAAAACCAAAACATATATTCAGTATTTTCTATTTTCAATCCTATTCTTTTGATTTTATTATTTTATGCTGTTATTTCATTTTTTATTTCTTTTGATTTTAAATTTTATCCCCCTGTCCCTTTTTCATTGTCATTCAACAGCGAAAAAAACGAATGAAGTTGGTTTTTTTATTTTCCTACTCAAAAAATAAAGAGTCGAACCGCCTTGGAGGTCCCACGGGAGAGATAAGTTGAATGATTGTGCACTGCTAGAAAATGACTTTTCAAATTTCAAATAAAAAATTGTGAAATTTTTAATATCCACCAATTGATGTAGAATTTCTCGACAGTTCATCATTGCCGAATCGCCTAATTTTTCAAATATTCACTAGCAATATCACGAGTGTTCAAAAATTCGGATATGGGAAAACACAATAATATGGAAAATAGAAAACCAAAACCTGTATTCAGTATTTGGTATTTTTATTCCTATTCTTTTGATTTTATTATTTTATTCTGTCATTTTATTTGTTATTTATTTTCATTTTTAATTTTATCCTGCTGTCCCTTTCTCATTGTCATTTAACCGCGAAAAAAACGAATGAAGTTAGTTTTCATTTTCCTGCTGAAAAAATAAAGAGTTTGACTGTCTTGTGGGTCAAACGGGAGAGATAAGTAGAACGATTGCACACTGCTAGAAAATTACTTTTCAAATTTCAAATAAAAAATTGTGAAATTTTTAATATCCACCAATTGATGTGGAATTTTTTGACATGTCATCATTCACGAATCGTCTAATTTTTTAGATATTCAGTGGCAATATCACGAGTGTTCAAAAATTATTGGATATGAGAAAACACAACAATATGGAAAATAAAAAACCATAACATATATTCAGTATTTTCTATTTTCAATCTTATTCTTTTGATTTTATGATTTTATTCTGTCATTTCATTTGTTATTTCTCTTGATTTTTAATTTTATCCCGCTGTCCCTTTCTCAATATCACAAGCGAAAAAAAAATAAAGTTGGTTTTTTCATTTTCCTGTTCAAAAAACAAACAGTTAGACCGTCTTATGAGTCGAACGGGAAAGATAACTAGAATGATAAGTACCAAAAATTAGAATTTTCAACATCCACCAACTGATATAGAATTTCTCGGCAAATCATCATTGCCGAATTACCCAATTTTTCAGACATTCAGTAGTAATGCCACGAATGCTAACAAATTATCGAATATGAAAAAACACAAAAACATGGAAAGTAGAAAACCAAAACATATATTCAGTATTTTCTATTTTTAGTTCTATTCTTTTTACACTCAATTAAAAATGGGTGTCTCACAATTAGTCATCACACTTTTATGGGGTTATAGTGTATAAGCGATGACATCCTGTGTGGCACCCCATATAATCTATATATAAAGCGAATGAATGGCCTGCAAACACCGTTACACTGGGTTTTTTCATTCAAGGGACTAGTGGATACACTCGAAGCTGATTGATAATCTAATATGTCGTACATTCGTTTGTTCCTGTTTCTTACTTTGGCGATGGTCTCCATAGTTGGTGAGATATTCATTCCGCAACATCTGAAATCATTCTCTCCATTCCATTCATTCCACTGACATTGTCCAATTTCTCAAATTCCGGAAGGAAATGATTAAATCACGCATTGGAACTTTTTATGTAGAGATAAACGCTCTGTGTGGCCGCAATGAGAGATTTCAAAAGTGCGGCAGTGCCTGTCCACCCAGCTGCGCAAATCCCGACCCAGGCCCCTGCGCTCAAGTACGAACAAGTATTTAATATTAAAACAAGTGGAAAATTGCTTTCGTCATAATATAGTCAATATATTTTTACTAATAAATTAGCAATTTGCTTACGAATGGAATTTCTATGATGATTTATTTCCAATTGAATTCAATGATTTATTCGCAACGTTGGCAGCCAACATTGCTCCAACTTCGGAAGCAAAATATTCCATTCGAAAGCAAAACAAGTGGGAAATTGCTTTCATCGCAATTTAGTCAATGTATCTTTACTAATAAATTAGCAATTTGCTTCCGAATAGAATTTCTGTGACGATTTATTTTAAATTGAAATCAATGATTCATTGAATTCCACATTGGCCCAACGTTGGTAGTCAACGTTGCCCCAACGTTAAAATTGTTTACCTTTCCCTGAATATTGGTTTCAAAATATTTTTTTTTCATCACTCGTGCGTAAAGTGAAATTTTACGCTCCGCGTGCGCAAAATCGCACTTTCCATTCATTCTGATGAAAAATAGAGTTCGACACTCGTGAGAAATAGCATATTTCGTCACTAGGCCGAAAAAAACTTTTCTGGCGAATATGAGCTGCAATCATATGAGCCAGAAAAGTTTTTTCTGCCCTCCGGCCGGAAAGCGTCAACTTCCTGGCCGCGGCGCCAAACGAAGTTGCCACTTTCCGGCTGCGTCGAGCAGAAAAATAGTATACACACCTTGGCCAGTAAATAAGAAAGCCTCAGATCACATGTAATTGTTGGCCGAGGCGAAGCCGAGGTCGACAAACATGTGATCTGAGACATTCCTTACTTTACTGGCCGAGGTGTGTAATCTACTATTTGTCATTCCGGCCGTGAGGCAGCGCTTCACGCCCGGAATCTCTGCCTACGGCTGTCATGACAAAATAGTATATTTCGTAACGAGTGCAAAAAAGTGTTTTTTGGCGAGTGGGAGGTTTATATCACGAGCCGAAGGCGAGTGATATAATCCCACGAGCTAAAAAACATTTTTTTACGAGTTAGGAACAATATTTTTCATCACAATATGGCGGAAATTGGACTTTTAGGCACGCGGAGCGTGCCGAAAAGTTCACTTTTCGTCACAGTGTGATGAAAAATACTATTCGTCATACGGCCAAAAAAACTTTTCTAGCTCATATGATTGCCGCTCTCGCCTTCGGCTCGAGCTCCAAACTCATATTCGCCATAGCAGATGTTTTCGGCCTAGTGACGAAATATACTATTTTGGCCGTATGACGGACAGTATTTTTTGTGATGACGGCCGTAGGCAGAGATTCGCTTACGAATGGAATTTCTATGATGATTTATTTCCGCTATTTATTTAGCTCCGCTTCGCTCCGCGTCCGTGAAACGCTGCCTTACGGCCGGAATGACAAAAAGTGCTTTGTGACCCTTGGGAGGGTCAAACACTTGCCCTCGGCAAGCGCTACACACCTCCCACGGGGGAAAATAGTATATTGCGCACCAAGGGAGGAAAACAGGGCATTCTAACCCACGTGGATCCCCACGTGATAATCCTATCAGTAAACATGTGGGTTAGGATGTCCGGTTGTCCTCCCTCGTTGGGCACTATATTTCCCGTCATACCTGCCCGGTTAAGTTCGATTTTTCTCTGTAAATGAAAGGGAGGAATGTGCACTGATAGAAAGGATTAGTTATTGTTAAAAAATGGATTCGGTTGGAGGCTAGGGTCTATCCGGTTTTATCAAATGTTCATTCGTTAATAGTTAATAAATGCATATTTGAGAAGCCGTGTTTGACTCGACTTTCACCTTTCCAGTGAACCATTCGTTAACTATTAACGAATATTTATAGTTAATGAATCTCGTTTGAAATAAATCAATCATTCTATCAGTGAGGATCTTGTAAAACAGTAGAAATCCGAGGAATGAAATAAGTCACTTTATCCCGTCATACTGTCAAAAAATTTTGTCCGAAATTTCCCGTACACTCGTTTATTAAAGTTCTGAAACAGAATAGGGGAGGTTGGAGTAAAATAGACACTTTTGACTTTTTTAAAAATGTCAATGACGGGTTGAAATGTTGATAAAATTTAATAATTTTTTTTTTCATTGCAAAGAACAATTCTGTCCCTTTGTGATGAGCCTACACTGAGCTCAATTGATAAATTTGTTTCTCAGTTATGAGTAATTAAACAAAAGTCTAAAATGTCCATTTTACCCCACTCTCTTCTACATAGGATACAAGTTCAGATTGTTTCACAAGTTTAGTAAATGATTGTACACTTTTTAGAAATTGTTATTGAATTTAATTACCACTGAAATTTCAATGAATTTCGTCATTGAAAATTCAGAATTTCGTGGAAAAATCAAAGAGAACAGTGAATTTCAGTGAAACTTGGAGTTTCAAGATTTTTTTCCCCTAAATCGCATTCAGTGTCACTGTCCATGAAATTGAATTAGTAGTCAACAGTCCATAAAATTGAATTTTTTTTCCAACAGTCTATGAGGACGAAAATCGAACTTTCCGTGCAGATATGACGGAAAACACTTTTACACACTCGTATCGAAATATATCATTTAAAACGGATGATGCAATCAATCTCCATTTCGAACTCGGTCAAGATGACATTGGGAAGAATATTTTAAATCACAATTGGATTTATTTAAACAATTACTTTTTCAATTATCTTCGACAAACGATCGGTCACACCCACATATACACGACTAAACATGCATACATACATCCGGACATGGTCTAAAAATTGCATATTCCTGAGGTCAAAATTATCATTTGACAAATACAACGTTCCGTGCATGAGATACTGAATAATAATAAGAAATTATATTTTCAGATTTGCAAACGCGGTTGTTTCTGCAGGTCAGGATTCATGAGGAACTCGAAGGGACAGTGTACTAATACCTGCCCGTGATTTAAAAAGTTCGATATCGGATTTTTTATGGTAATCTCCATTGTAAGAAGTCTAGAGATCGTTTAATCTACCGCAATTTAATAATTTCGTATTTTTTTTCTTAATGTACCCCTGACTAACCATTTCTAATATGATTAAGGGAGTAGGTTAGTGTACTATATTCTAGCTTCGGTGAACTATGACGCATTTCAACTAAAATTGCTGGCATTCGGCAAGTGAAATATATTTTTTTCAATCACATGCTTTCAACTGCATTGAAAGATTGATTAAACTCAGAGAAATTGTTTGTTTGAATTAAATTAGCTTTATTTGAATCAAATAAATGGGTTTATACCAAAAGAAGGTAATAAAGATTTTATTCAAACTTAAACTTGATTTTTATTTGCTTTTTTCTTCACATCAATTGAATAATTTTTGACTTTGGATCTGACCAAGCAGAATGCAATACTTTTACAATATTTGACAGTTATTTGGTTAAAGAAACAATTGCAAAGCCAGGCGGAAATATTTAGCTGTACTAATTCTGTGGAATTATCAGTTTGATAATTCACCCATAGCCCGGAGAATTAGGCGACAGTGGGGTAAAACGCCCCCTTTTTATTTTTTCAAAAATGTTGACAGCTCATTTTTAAATAAAAAGAAATAACTTTTTGTCATTCCGGCCGTAAGGCAGCGTTTCACTGCAGCCCTCATATAGTCATATAGTTCATCATACGGCCAAAAAAAACTTTTCTGACGAATATGATTGCAGCCCTCGCCTTCGGCTCGTGTTGCAAACCTCATATTCGCCAGAAAAGTTTTTTTCGGCCGAATGACGAAATATACTATTTTTTCCATGGAAACTACACTTCTGCCCCTTTAGAATAAGCCTAGACTGATCTCAATTAATGAATTTGTTTCTGAGTTATAATTACACTGAGAAAAAAATTTTCTAATATCTGAAACATATTTTCTTGAGACAAGTAAATTTTCTTCAATTGCTTAATTCTCTCAGGCATCTCAACTCACATGACCCGAAAAAGGCCTCATGCTTTAAAATATTCTTGTACTCAAGTATGATTTTGTCGCAAATGAATTTACTTAAATCGCGTACAAGAATCGTCAATCTTCTAGTCTTTATTGTTTTCATGATTTTTTCGTTATCCACTTCCAATATTGCAATATGTAAAATATTCATGACGTAACGCGGAACGATAGTGATGAATGAAAATTTATTCGAGTTCCGTGAAGTGCACACATTCTGATATTTAAGCCATTGAAAATAATTTACTTCTCTCAAGAAAATATGTTTCAGATATTAGAAATTTTTTTTTCTCAGTGTATCACAAAAAAGTCAACAGGGGCCGTTGTACCCCACTCTCCCATATTCAAATAAAAGTGATGTAAATGTATCACGTGACCCTGAATACTGCACTCTGATTGGTCGAAATCAGAATTGAGAAAATTATCACTAAAATTTTGATTTGAACGTACTTTACAGCATCAAATAGAAATTATCTACTGAATTTTCCTCATTGTTCTTGATTTTCGTGAAATCATTGGATTGAATTTACAGTTACCGTGGATTTCTTCGGAAAATTGTGAATTTTCAATGACATAATTCCTTCAAATTTCAGTGAAACCGTCAATTTATAAGATTGTCCAAGAACTATACTCGAAATTTAAATTAAAAAATCTAGAATACGGTGAAGGCCGTTGAGTCTGATTGCCCCGATGATCTCTTTCGTGGGGCTCGCAAGCGTAAAATGCACATAAAGAATGCGGACTTTATTTAATTGCTCATCAGAGGACTTCACACGGAGAAAATTATTTGGTGAATTTCCATAAATAGTTGTTGAATTTCAAGAACTAGTTGTTAAATTTCCCCAAATAGTTGATGAAATTCAATAACTGGTTAGTAATTGATTTTTTCAATAACTAGTTAGTGGATTTCAACAACTATAAAACGAATAATGTTACTTCCTTTATGAAAATTACTTGGTGAATTTCCACAACTACTTATTGAATTACAACAACTAATTGTTGAAAAAGTCCCAGTTACCAATCAGTTATTGAATTTCAAGAATTAGTTATTAAATATCACCAACTAACTAGTTGTTGAAAAATCAATTACCATCCAATTATTGAATTTTAACAAATATAGAATAAATCAGCAGTAATATAGTGATTGCACCCACAAATGCAGAATGCAGATCGAGAAGATGAAGTGGAAAAATATTGGAAAAATGTTTTGTCTATCATATTGAGATAACAAACATTTTCGTTTCAACTGAATCATCATATCACTCGTACAGACATTCAGATAAGGAGAGCTCCAGGGATGATCCTCACTCTGAACGGCTATAAACACGCATAATTCTTTCAACATTTACATGCAACATTGCATTTTCTAGTATATTAAAAATCTAATATGGCGCACCTGAGTTTGTTCTTCATCTTCGTTTTGGCGACGGTTTTCATCAGCGGTAAGTAAAAAAGAAATTGAAAAAAAATAAATTGCTTCGTGAAATTTTCTGGAAATTTTATTCATCAAAACATGATTTTTACGTGAAACACTATAAAAATTCGTGCGGAGGATACTGATTTCCGTGAATCGGTAGCAATGCATCAAAATTATTTCAACCAACCGAATCTTCACGTGATTGCCATAGTACTTTTTCCACAACTATTTCCCCCATGAATGAGATCGTGAGAAGTTGTTATTGAATCCTTCCATTCATATTCTCACTTTTTCAATTCGTAATTAAATATTAAATTACAATTATTCGTTAAATGGTTACTCAGCATCAAGTGCTCAACGGTGTCCCCCCAATGAGGTCTGGAAGCCGTGTCGTCCGCCCTGTGAAGCAACATGTATCAACAACAATCCCAATCTCTGCCCGGTATGAAAATTTCTGTAATTTAAGGACATCCATTATCCAAGCGGTTCAACTCAGCCAAAAATAGCCTTTTCGGTCTAATCACGAAACATACTATTTCTGTACTGCTTCTCACGATTTCTCGTCTGGGAATTGGTATTACATACTTCCCAAACTCGAAAACTTGAAAATCACTACAGAAAAATATTGTTCCTGGGCTGTTGCGATGGGGTTTTTTTACTCGTGTGGCGTTGGCCTCCGAGCCGTAGGCGCTTCTCACGATTTCTCGTCTGGGAATTGGTATTACATACTTCCCAAACTCGAAAACTTGAAAATCACTACAGAAAAATATTGTTCCTGGGCTGTTGCGATGGGGTTTTTTTACTCGTGTGGTTGGCCAGTCCTCGCCTACGCCTCAGAGGCCAACGCCACACGAGTAAAAAAACCCATCGCAACAGGCCGGAAAAATACTATTTTGAACGACACTTCTGTAGCTGGACTGAACCGCGTGGATATCCTTAAGGTACTTCCGCAGTAAGTATACTTGGTGAAAATTTCGAAATGGTATAAAGACGCAATATTGGATCATATGTTGTTGACCACATTAAAAAGATATTCCCAAAATTTCAAGTTCCTGGTCCACCCCATTTTTGAGATATGCATCGCTAAACATTCAATTTTTGTGTTTTTTCCATTTTTGACGATGTATATCTCGAAAATGGGGTGGACAAGGTACTTGAAATTTTGAGAATAGTTTTTGAATGTGCTCAACAACAAATATGATCCAAAATTATGATCCAAATATTGTGTCTTTATACCATTTCGAAATTGTCACCAAGTATACTTACTGCGGAAGTTCCTTAAAGTCGATATTACATGTGGAAGAATTATGCTTTCTATGCATTTGGAAGAATTATGCAATCCCCTGATTTCAGGCCTGTATAGAAGCCTGCTTCTGTAGACGTGGCTGGTGGAGAAACCGAAATGGTAGGTGCGTTCGAAGATGTTAAAGAAGACTGGGGAGAATTCCAGAGCTTTTATCCTCCCTGTGGATTTCCCACGAGGAATTTAGCCGGTGCATTTGTTATTCTTTTTGAACTGACGATACTAGTCGTTACTCCAATAGATGAAGGTAGGGGAGGGTAGGGTAAATGGACACTTTAGACTTTTTTAAAATTACTAGGGCATTATGCGCGCTACCGCGCGCGACGACCTTCCAGTGAGCGCTGTAGCGCACAAAAATTTTGAATATGCCGTTTTGGGGTTTTCCATTCATAGCTCAAAAACTAAATGAGATATCGACTTGGTGTCTATTGCAATCGATTCATGGGGCAATGGCATGTCTACTGAGTTCTAGAAAATGGGGCTGATGTAGTGTAGACATGTTTTTTCGAAGTTTTAACTACTTTTAAGGCATGGCCAAAAATATTAAAAATGCCGTTTTGGGGTTTTTCATTCATATCTTGAGAAATAATTGAGATATGGACTTGCGGAAGGACATATCCATGAGGGGAGTACATGATCATCGTTGAAATTCCCTCGTACATTTGCATGAGAAATCACATATAAATGAAGAACATTGAAAACGACATTGGCTCTTGTACAGACGATTTCCTTGTCAAAATAAACGGTTATAACTACACGTGGACTGGAGCGTATCTCGAAACAAATGAAAAATTAACATTCTCGTTGACATGGAAATCATTGATTGATCCATCAACCAATCGGAAGACGAATAAAAAGTTGACCATCAAAACAATCATTCATTGTCAATCAACTTTATGATAAAGGATTCATAACTCAGAAACAAATTTAACAATAGACCTCAGTTTAGGCTGATTACAAAGGGAAAGAATTGTTCTTTGCATTGAAAAAAAAATTATTAAATTTCATCAACATTTCAACCCGTCACTAATATTTTTAAAAACGTCCAAAGTGTCCATTTTACCCCAACCTCCCCTATTACTAAAAATGAAATGGGGTGGAATGTTTTCTGTAGAAAATTCCTCACTATTCCTTCAGCAGACAACTACAAATAAAATGAATAGCTTTTTTTCTGATTCATTTGTTCAGAAGGTAATTGCTTCTGTTTAATGCTATTTTCCGTCGGTCTGGCCTCCATTTCCACCTTATTTCTGGTCTGTACATGTCTCAAAATCGAGGGTGTCCCGCAGCTCTACATATATAGAAACCCTGGGCGGCACTACCCAGAAACGCGGAGGCTGGTAAAATAGCCAATAATAACTGATGAAGATATTTTTTGCTATTTAAAAGGTTGCAATGAATGTGGAAATGTATAACAATCATAAATTTTACACTCCATTCAATTATGGACCAACTGAAAATTTGAAAAATCTTAAATTCTGGGGTCGAAATATTTTAAGAATTCCGTAAGAAATTTGAAAGGCCGAATCGGTATTTCAAATATTTTAAATATGCAGTATTACTATAACGAATAATATCATTGAAGAGAATGCTCTATGG